GTAAAGTATTTTCTCTAAGTATCATAGTGGATGACAAACAAGAGTGCACAATGCACTCTTGTCGGTCAAAGTTTTGCAATCGTATTCTGATTGCAATAAATTGTCTCGTTCTGGGAGACATGCACAGGCAATGTCTCCCGGAATGACACATGCAGACCAACAAGAGTGCACAATGCACTCTTGTCGGTCAAAGTTCCGCATTCAAGTTATGAATGCGGAACAGTATGCCATTCTGGGAGACATGCACAGGCAATGTCTCCCGGAATGAGACACTGCGACCGTCAGGAGTGCATATTATCATCAAAAATTCAAAAAAAAAACATTTTTCTTTTTTCTTTGGCGAAAAATGTACTTATTTTTTTGAAATTTTCGAAATATGATTTTTTTCGGGAGACTTTTTCAAAATTTTAATATGATAAATATGAGTTATTTTATGTTCTCTATTTGAGAGTCTGCTTATTTTTGAGTATTGAGCAAGATTGAAAAATGAGAATATTTAGGAACATAATAAATCGATTTATCTCGTCATGTAGTTCATATTTTCGCGTTCTGAGAGCGGAAAACGCATTTTTTGAATGCGTAGATTCCGAATCACACGGAAAAAATAGGTTTTAATAAGAAAAATAGACAATTTATGAAGTAACAAAGCACATAGTATTATAAAAAAGAAAAACATTTTTCTCATATGAAAGAAAATATAACGTATTTTTTACAGAGCGTAGGTATATATCGAGCCAATTCACACCATAAATTCTTTTCTCGTTCTCGGGCCTATAAACAACCTGAGGTGCACAACAATATTAACTTATACTGCTGTTATCTGGATTTGAATCCTCAATTGAGAGAATTCCAGATAACTTCAGTATAAACAAACCATATACATGTTTCCTCCTTGCTTCTAGGCCAAGCATAACAAGTACATTACCTTAGAGCAAATCTCATTCGGAGTTTCTCATTTAATGAGAGACTCCGAATGAAATCTGCCTATTTGATTAATATTGTGCTTTATGAGATGCAAATTCTGATGATAAATATTGATCTAGAGCTTATATAAGATGCGAAGAAACTTCAAAAAAAGCTAACCGGTAAAGACAGCAACTTGCAACACCAAGTTGCTCACGTAGTGATTACAAGCATATCTGCAAGGCAAAGTCCTCAGGATGCAGAACTTTGCCTGCAATCAGAAAAGAGATTGCAGCAGAGTAACCGGTAAAGACAGCAACTTGCAACACCAAGTTGCTCACGTAGTGATTACAAGCATATCTGCAAGGCAAAGTCCTCAGGATGCAGAACTCTGCCTGCAATCAGAAAAGAGATTGCAGCAGAGTAACCGGTAAAGACAGCAACTTGCAAAGTCAAGCAGTTTCTGAGATTTTGATTTATAAATCATAAACCTTCATGCTTGATGATTTTGTAGAATTGTTAACTCATGTCATCAGTTAATGCTCACCTAAGGGAGGTGTTTTGCGGGAGCTGGGGGTATCTTGGTGAGTACTCAGGAGGCCAAGAAGGGCACCCCAACCGACATTTTGCTGATGGATTGAGTTCGCAACCATTTTTATAACCGTAAAAACCGTCGGGACAAAACAACTTGAATAATTGAATTTTTTAATGATAATGATTGTGAAATAACATGTAACTATAATTTAAGAATGCCATATTTTTGTTAAAAAAAATTTCGAAAAGTGAGAGATTTTCCGTTCTAATAAATATATTTGATAACCGGGGCGTCCCCCGGAATCAAATAAATTATCATATCGAGAATCGGAGATCCTTGCAGTTTCGATTTTTTCGAAAAGTGAGAGATTTTCCGTTCTAATAAATATATTTGATAACCGGGGTGTCCCCCGGAATCAAATAAATTATCATATCGAGAATCGGAGATCCTTGCAGTTTCGATTTTTTCGAAAAGTGAGAGATTTTCCGTTCTAATAAATATATTTGATAACCGGGGCGTCCCCCGGAATCAAATAAATTATCATATCGAGAATCGGAGATCCTTGCAGTTTCGATTTTTTCGAAAAGTGAGAGATTTTCCATTTTAATAAATATATTTGATAACCGGGGTGTCCCCCGGAATCAAATAAATTAGCATTACTAACATTCCTTTTTTATTTAAAATTTTCAATTCTTAAAACAAAGTTTTACTTCTATTTAATTATTTGCCATGAAAGTATAGAACATTAAAAATTTATCCTACTACCTCCACCCTTATAATACCTTCAAAAAAATTATATCTCAATTTATTTTCTATCTTTATATTGATGTGCTTATTCAAAAACACTAAATCATAAGTCTTCAGTTCTCAAAATACTCTCAAATTATCTCATTGCGCATATTTTGAAATTTGATAATTTTAAATTGTTAAAAAATTCATTAATCACAGTAAAATATCTATATACAACAATTAACTAACTGATTTCACATCTTGAACATTCGCATTTATTTAATATATTTGAATATCATTTACATCTTATTGAATTAGATCATAAATCACAGTTCCTTAATATACTATCTAGCTAATCATTATTGTTGCACAACTTACATTTGATTAAACACACGTGTATAATTCTGTACAACTCATATCTCTATCAATACTTTATTTATAATCAAAACAAAGGTTAAAATTGTATACCCTGTCACTGTAGAGTATTCTCCCAACTTTAAAGTGAAAATCAAAATTTGATATTTTAGTAATTTCATGTGAGATCGTTATTTTATAGGAAAACATACTGAAAATGTTTATAAGATGTTTCTCTATCATATGCCAAAATATCATGGCTTAAATGCTCTCCTAAGTGTCTATAACTGAATTTTAGGGCAATAACCTTATTCTAAATGTTGGGAAAGTAGGGTATATTTTTTTGGATCAAATCCATTTTAATAGAATTTATATACTATTCATCTATTAGTAAACACTACCGTATATTATTTTTTAAGCTATCTTTTTTTTTGAAATTTTATTCAAATCTTTGGTCGCAAGAAGAATTGCATGATAAATAAAAACATTTAATCAAAGTCAATTTTATTTTTCATATTCAAATGAACTGAGTGTTAACATTTAACATTTTTTGCTAATTGTCGTCAAAAATTAGGCGTAAAGCAAAAATTGATATTTCATATGGTTTTATGATAGATAAGCATTATATTCCCACTCATTATATTCGTAAATTTTGAGGTTTATCCTTCGCTTTTAAGATCATTGAATTTGATTTTTATATAAAATAGTTATATATTAGAAAATAATATGAGTTTATGTGATATTATTTTTCAGAAGATTTCATTCTATATGCCTATGAAAAGTACTCTCAAAACTAACTTTTTCCTAATTATAATTAAATCTAGAATATTGTATTATGCTTAGTATTATTTCATTTTTCTCATTCAATTTAGAATTTACAAATGTCAAAAAATTGAGAGCTGTCACTTTTGATGAATTTCTGTTTATTACAGTTTCCACTAGATTAACAAATAAACAATAAATTGGAATAATGTAATGCCCAATCATTCATTTTAAATTTTAGATTTAAAACAATATTTTCTCCATATTATTATAACATGAATCGCTATGATATAAGAAATATATTTTCAATATTGAAATTGAAAAATTCTAAAATTTTTGAAATTCAATTTGAGTGTGATGATCGATAACATATATTTTTTAATTAAAATATTGTGTCGCTATCATATAAATATACTATTTCTAAATTAAAAATAGGGGAAAAAGTACTATTTAATGATGAAATTGCAAATAATATCAATATATATATATTCATGCTGATATATTTTGGGAACAGATTGGAAATCACATAAATAGGATTGTGTTAGTTTGTCATTGATATAAAACAAATTTTCGAGCTAATTGAGCGAATTTAAATCACAAACACTTATATTTTCTATTACAAGGTATATTTGTAATATACAACCAGTAAATAGCTTTCTCTAACTTTTACCAGCTTAGATGATAGCAAATTAGATACGAATTTCATGACCCCTCACCAAATTCCATTAAAACATATACAAATAAAAGTACTAAGTGGGTATCATCTAACCCTAGAATTATAGCTCCTAGGACTCATCCTAGATGGTAGTTCTGGAAAAACACCTGGTTTTTGGAGTTGCAAAAGTTAAAAATTGAGGGTAATCTCTTTTCATTGAAACTGGACAATAAATACGGTCTCACAGGTACGTATGGACGATTTTAAGAAGACTTTGTATTTCCAAATTTTTTTCAAAATAAGGAATATCAAGTGCTTTCCTTAGAATCTTCCATTTATTTTTATAATTCCAAAATTTTTTTGGAAAATTGGATATTTGATTTTAGATTTTCATGAATAATAATCATTAAAACAGAATTATAAATAGCCAATGATGCAATAATATTCATATATTATCTATTTCATTATATTAAGTACTATAAAATTTCTTATTTTAATGATATATTTTCATAATACGTTAAAATGAGGTGTGTAACATATGGATACTATTTAATTTCGGCATAACAATAAATTCACATTGAGTTAAATACTATTAATACTGTTTGATTCAGAAAATTGATATTATTTTATTAAAATCTTATTAAAGAACATGAATTTTGGTTTGTTTTCTGGCAGAAATAGCTTTTCCGATATTTACATCGAACATTTATTACCAAACATATATCTCGATTGAAAACCTTTCAACGGAATAAATCTTTATGTACCTACATTTACATATTGATAGACACGTTAGATATGATACTAAAACTTCTTTGATTTAGAGAAGAAAAAAAAAAATTTATTTTTTTATTTATATATTTGAAAAGTATAGTATGCTTGTTTGAAAGTAGGCGGAAATAAACCCGCATTCACGATCTTGTCGCATGAAATCAAGTAGATTTGATTTTCAGAACGAGAAATCAACTTAAACGGAGAGAATCGTGGAATTTCTATTTTCTATAATACATATATATCACTAATGTTCCAATATATATCCAATATCTATATCAGAACATAATATAATTATAGAGGCAAAGATAAGAAAGGATGTTGCAGCGCCACGTCAGCAGTGATACGCAGTGCTGGGTCTATTTGTAGCATTTGCTGTAAAAGGTCTATAAATACTCTCCTGTGTTCCATTTCTACGGAGATTTGCTCGTCCGTCATATCATCTGGGTACGCGTAGTTCATAATGATGTCGTCAAGGTGCTCGTGTATAAAGTAAGGCTGGTAATTGACGAAATTCTCGTCATTTTCTAGACAAAGAATTTCAGCGGATTTCAGAGTTTCATCTGGCATGAATAGCTCATCATGACGCTCTGTCTGTTCTCTCATGTTCGCCGGATATGGTCCGAGCATCTGTGCAATCAAACAAATGAGATGACGTTCAGATTCTGCTGGAAACAGTGGGAGGCCAAGCATGAGCTCAGCCGCCACGCATCCGGTCGACCAGACATCTGCTTTAGTATCATATTCTAAATGTAGTGCTACTTCTGGGGCTCGATAATATCTTGATTGCGTGTACGTGTTTTGTATTGTATTAACGACGACACAGCTTCCGAAATCAACTAGCTTGACGTGGGATGAAGTGTCGTTCAAAGCGCATATATTCTCTGGCTTAACATCGCAATGAATAATTGAAAGATTCGCTAGGTTTTTTAAAGCAGTAAGAACGTCTCGGAGAACTGATTGCACGAGGTTGAGAGGTAGACCGCTGTATTCTATTGCCTGCAAAAACGAAAGAGTTGACGGACCACATTTGTCAAGCACAATACAAATATGGCCTTGGTATTGGAAGTATGCGTGAACATCCGATACATATTGTAAGTCCTCGTCTGAAGAGTTGGCTTTAATCTGTGTGTTAGTAAAATTTAATTTTTTTTTTCAAACACGTTTTCTTCGCAAAATTTCGATATTGCGAAGAACACATGCTTGTAAGAAACATACGTATGCAAGAGCTTGCGTTTCATATTGAAACTGTTCCAATGAATCTCTTGTCGATTTCGAGATTTTCATCGCATATAATAAAGGATCCCCTCCAGAAGGATTTGGCAAGGATACTTCGTAGACTTGCCCCCACCTTCCTTCACCGAGTTTCCCAACAACTGTGTAAATTTGATCGGCAGGGTCTTGAATTTGAGAATTCTCATATAGAATAAGCTCAAAATTAATGTTATCAAGACCACCATTTTCCGCCGGAGTCGATGGATCAATGAGCACCTGACCCCTATCGGGTTGGGTTTGGGCACTCATTTCAGACTAACAAAACGGTTGAAAAAGTGCTAATCATAAATCTTTTAAAATCTCGAGATTATATGTTATTTCGGCATTATAGACTTTCAAAAACCTATGAATAATAATTGACCAAACTGAATTTTTTTCGGGATGTCAACCTCATTCTCCAAAAACATTTGTTCCTAAATGTGCGTAATACATTAATTGAGTTCAAGTTCACACGTTTACTCCTTTTTGATAGGAATTATTAATAAATCAACTTAAATTAAGATATATCTTGATTCGATATCATGAGCTATGGGTTCTAAGTTTCTACATCGCTATGTATTCTCTTAGTGAGTTTTGGCATATGAATTGAAACTCAATATACATATAAAAGTAAGTGATATATTTATTATTTGATGAATTAAATAAGGTTTGTAACCAGCATTCATATAAGTAAGAGTATTTAAGAATATGTATTATGCAATTGGCCTTCTATTCAGTCTTTACAGCGATAATCCCTTCTTCAAATTTTGTCGTTTCTGACCATATAATGAAAGGAATTATGTTTTAATAAATTTGCAACAGTTATTAACCATGTTTAGTTTATGTGAATTGTAAAAGTGACATCCTTAGAATTTTTAAGTTTTCATGACTACTGAAGAAATTAAGTTACATCCATTAAATCAAAAATGGTCTTTCTTCTCAATTGCTATCAGAGACAGGTATTACGATGAAATGCTCTGCAATATTCCTATCGAAAACGTTGAAGATTTATGGGAAATTGTTAGAAAACTCCCAACACTTGATAAAATTTCAGGATATAATATAGCATTTTTCAAAGATCCATTTAAGCCTCATTATGATGATATTAATACAAGAATTTTCACGATCAGACTTGATAATCGTGACCCAGAACTATTTTACAAGTTAATTGCATTTTCTGTTGGTGGAGAATTCGATCATAAAGTTGGAGAAGGTTTTAGAGGACTTTACATCATTGTTAAAGATCGCACTAAGATTAGCTACGCATTTTGGTTTGATCCAGCCAAAGTTGAAGATGGAAATAAGGTCAAGCAATGCATATACGACGAAATCGGATTACAAATGGATATTGATATTGATAAATTGATAGACAAGAGCTACATGACTCAAAATAAATAGTTAAATCATATAATATACACTTTTATTTGATACTAACATATAAAAATATAAACATATTGGTTAGATTTTAACTTTGTTTCTTACATTGGCTGATTGATCCGGCTGATCGTTCCTTGTGAGGTTATATACTATGTTGTTCAGATCTTCAGCATCAGCTTTAAACTGGTTCAGATAAGAATTTGTAATTCGAGATTGGCCCGAGATATATTGAAGGATAAAACTATCCGTAGGGAACGTTGTGTTAGATAATTCAACTTCTTCTGATCTTATCGACTTAATTGCATCAATAAGACTTTTTGTTTCATCAGGGTTTGAAGTAACAAGAAAATCATTCCAGCTTTCTGTGGGAGACATGTATAAGTCGGAGAGAATTTGTGCAAGTCGAGGATCGAATGGAGTTCTCGGTTGACGAGGAATTTGAATTTGATTTTGAGCTTTTTTACTTTTGGATTCTTTCTTTGGAGCCTCTGGCGGTGGGTCAATGATTTTTATCAATTGCTGGCATCTACTATGTATTTCAGGCCATAAACTACCAGTTCGAAAGATAATTGCATTCAGCATTTCTTGTTTTGTCCTATTTTTCATATTTTTCATACCTAGAGTTGAAACTATATGATTAAATTCTCTGTATGATAATAATTCGACACAATCACTTCTTGATTTTAATAAATTTTGGGGCAAACGAACAACAGCACTACAAAAGGAATCAGTAAATATGATGCTATTTACAGTTGTCAATGGAAAAATCTGGATTTCTGATGAAGGAGCTGGTTCAGGATTTATTTTTGGAGTCGAAACAGGAATATTTACTGCTTGAGGAAATTGTTGCTGAGCTGGCGGTATTGTTTGTTGATTCGGATTAAAAACTTGATTCATTTGATCCATACTATTGAATTTTTGCGGAATTTCATTCATTTCTGCAAAAAAGTGACAAAAATTATTTATCATTTTGAGAATTGTATTTTTTTTTCTAAAGACAAGACAGAGCAATTTAATATTTTTATCAATACAACCAAAAACACACAACAATATAGGATAAAAAAAGTGTAAATTAAGCAATATTACAAGCCTTTGATACAGGATGGAATTTCTTGGAGATAATATTGCCTTCAGCCATTCCAATTGTAATATGACCTTGTTCATCTGTAGCCAAGCCGTATAAATCGGGTTCAATAGCGTATTTTCCTTCTTCAACCTTGAGAGGGATTGCTGAAATCCTCATAACAGACATTGTATCCAAGGTTTCCCAATCAAATGTTGTTGGCTTAACTAATCCTGTTTCTTCAAAGGATTTTTCGATTTCTTCGATCCAGCCATCGTAATCAGGCTTTGTAAAGAGTCCGAGATCTTCTATCTTGGCGTGTAAGTTCTGCAATCTTGGTGGAAGAATTTGGAAAGCAGGGGAATTCCTGATTCCTCTCTTTCCTTTCATAATTGCAACTTTTTCTTTCTCATGACTCCATGGAAGAACACCGTATGCGAGTTCGACAATTGTGTAAAACCATGAATACATATCGTCTCTAACTGTTAAATCGAAGCCAATATGGGCATTTGGCGATGCGTATTTCTTTGTACCTTTGAATCCAGAAAATTGGCGTACTTTAATTGGTTGTCCTGTTTTTGGATCAATATATGTTTTTGAAAGTCCAAAATCAATGAGAACTAGGAAATTCGGAGAGCCCAGACGAATTAAGAAGTTTGATGGCTTAACATCATTATGTATGAAACCTCTTCCGTGGAACTCTTTTAATATACGTAACATTTCTTGTGCGATGCAGAGTACAGTTGGAAGAGAAAGCTTTCCACCAGGGAAACATCTTCTAAGAGCAGAAAGTGATGGACCTAAGAGTTCTTGAACAAGATACCGATTTCTCGCATCTTCTCCGTATTCAATCATATGAGGAAAATGGGGTGAACCTTGAAGTCCACACATAAATGTATACTCTTGATGAAGACTTTGCTTTCTTGCTTCGCTGATTTCAAGCTTCATTGCAAACGCTTGATCTGACTCGCTATCGCAAACAAGGTATATATCTCCGAATCCACCTTGCCCAATACATTTAATTATCGTGTATTTACCAACGATTTTTCCAAAGCTTAGGATAGGGCGTTGATGACTCTTTTCCATTTTTTTCTTATCCTCTATCGTTCATGAGCAATTATCATTCCGACGAATAATGTCCATTTCCTTATATATTTAAGTCCTATATGAGTACATACTTTTCATGTTGTAAACAGAAATTCATCAAAAGTGACACCCCAGAAAAGCTAAAATATTGAATTTTTGGAACTTTTGATAGAGCACGTTTTTAAATATTAATTAAAGTAAATGTATATTTTGTAAAGATTCTTTTTAATAAAAAAATAAAATTTTGAAGAAGAACACAAAATCTTCTGAAAAATAATATCACATAAACTCATATTATTTTCTAATATATAACTATTTTATATAAAAATCAAATTCAATGATCTTAAAAGCGAAGGATAAACCTCAAAATTTACGAATATAATGAGTGGGAATATAATGCTTATCTATCATAAAACCATATGAAATATCAATTTTGCTTTACGCCTAATTTTTGACGACAATTAGCAAAAAATGTTAAATGTTAACACTCAGTCCATTTGAATATGAAAAATAAAATTGACTTTGATTAAATGTTTTTATTTATCATGCAATTCTTCTTGCGACCAAAGATTTGAATAAAATTTCAAAAAAAAAGATAGCTTAAAAATAATATACGGTAGTGTTTACTAATAGATGAATAGTATATAAATTCTATTAAAATGGATTTGATCCAAAAAAATATAAAACCAAAAATAATTGTTATAATTTAAATGAAGAAGTAATTTAAAACGATTTTATTTATGATCAAATTTTATATATTTTTTTGGATCAAATCCATTTTAATAGAATTTATATACTATTCATCTATTAGTAAACACTACCGTATATTATTTTTTAAGCTATCTTTTTTTTTGAAATTTTATTCAAATCTTTGGTCGCAAGAAGAATTGCATGATAAATAAAAACATTTAATCAAAGTCAATTTTATTTTTCATATTCAAATGGACTGAGTGTTAACATTTAACATTTTTTTGCTAATTGTCGTCAAAAATTAGGCGTAAAGCAAAAATTGATATTTCATATGGTTTTATGATAGATAAGCATTATATTCCCACTCATTATATTCGTAAATTTTGAGGTTTATCCTTCGCTTTTAAGATCATTGAATTTGATTTTTATATAAAATAGTTATATATTAGAAAATAATATGAGTTTATGTGATATTATTTTTCAGAAGATTTCATTCTATATGCCTATGAAAAGTACTCTCAAAACTAACTTTTTCCTAATTATAATTAAATCTAGAATATTGTATTATGCTTAGTATTATTTCATTTTTCTCATTCAATTTAGAATTTACAAATGTCAAAAAATTGAGAGCTGTCACTTTTGATGAATTTCTGTTTATTACATTCACAACGTTTTTTCCTTTGGATTCGTTGGTCCGTAAAAAGAATTCAAATTTCTTTATTGCAATTCGCGTATGAGAATTTGAATTATTATCGCATCAGTATGATGAACACTATAGGGTTCCCCTGTAAATAGCAATAAGCCACAATGAGAATCGAATAAATTGTACTTTTTTCTTTAATATCAAGGAACCTACGAAGAATATACAGGATTGTGCACAATATTTTCTAATCCTTTTTGCTTTTCAAGATTATATTTTTTTGGTTAGTGAAATTTCTTTGAGTTTTCCTTATCACTGAAGGAACAAATCATAAAACCATTTCCTAAAAGTTCCAACAATGAATGGATAACGCTATTTCATTCAAAATTATAAAAAATTTAAAATTGTACATAAAAATCATGAACATTTAATTAAATCAATTTCTTAACATTATAACAATACATCAAAAGAGTGATTTTTGTCTTGAATATCATCTTTCCAATCAGGAGTGTCTACCGGATCAAAAGTATGCTGCATTGCCGAGTCTTCCAATGTATCAATTGGAAAATAGCCATAATCTTCTTTCGGAGCGAATCCAAGATCATCAACTTCTAATGTAGCCTTTGGTTCGTGAATTTCTAGAGAGGAGACTTCATCAGTATCAATGATATCTGGCGGTGGTGAGATTTGTCGCAATTCGCTAGTTTTAGAACTGTGACCCCGTTTATCAGATTTCTTTTCTGTTTTAGAACTAGAAAGTAAGGAATCATTACCTCCTGATTTAAAGCGAACTGTCCACTGTCGAAGCTCCATAAAATTATTCTTCATAAAAGGATATAAATTAATTAACTCTCCAGCTGAGTCAGCTCCAGTTGGAATTGTTTCATAACCCATCGCTTGAAATGATCCATTGATGGAAGATTTACATTTTGACATAAGAAGACGGAGCTGATGGGTATTAATCGCAATTCCTTCATGCAACCAAATTGTACCGCAGACAAGAGAACGATTTTTGTCTTCAGAATCACCTCTTATAACGTAATTCTTGATTGATGTGATAATTTCACGAAATGTCTGAATCGATTTATTCCTTCGATTTTTACAATTGGGAGAATTCAAGGCTTTTCGCAGCTGGTGATACGCCTCCTTATCAGTTTCACTAAGGATTTCGAAGAAACGTGGAAGCTTATCGCTATAGTCTTTCTTCCCCATAATTCCCTGGTTACAGAAATGATTTACTTTTCCGAAATAATTTTTTGTGAAAATCTGACAATTCATATATTCTTAATCTCAACAATAGAAACTACAAAAAGACAGTTTTGCTATTTTTTTTGTAAATATAAATTCTATGAGCCCTTTCAAATATGATATTTATTTTAATGGTTGTTTGTTCGGATTAATCAAATTTTAATTGAAATTAAGACTGACGATATTCAACTTATATATTCGATTTCCCATATTGGAAATGCTTATGGATGATAAACCTTGAAATTATTTAGGAAGATTTTGTATTTCAAAAAGTATTCCTAAGGATTATAACACTAAGATTATGACTATACTTTTACTGATGCTTATTAGCAAGAATAAAAGAGAGTTTTGATTCCTATTTGCACAAGTTGTGATTCGTAAAAGGATGAAGTTATGCGAGAACATATACTGTATTGTATGTGAGAAATACATGCATTATATTAAAACGTGATTTTACTAAATTCGTTTAAGATCATGAAATCTCTCGTTGGAAAAAAATTTCAACGCATGACACAACACGATGTGCATGCACATTCTGTGTAGTATTAGTGCAGTTGATGCACTGCTTAGGGAACTCAAGCTTTACTTGGTGAGTCTCTGGAGATGTAAAAACAAATTTTCACTGAGGGTTTTTTTGATGAAACTATATGTATGGATAGGCATGAATTACTAAATGTGAGCATGTGTACTATAGTGTACTATAGTGTATTAGTGTGCATAGTATATGAATTACTATGTATGACTCAGAGATTGCACCTTCTCACAGTAATTATCAAAATGTTGAATTTTGAAATTTCGTCATAGATATCCAGAGACCCACCGAGTAAAGCTTGAGTTCCCTAAGCAGTGCATCAACTGCACTAATACTACACAGAATGTGCATGCACATCGTGTTGTGTCATGCGTTGAAATTTTTTTCCAACGAGAGATTTCATGATCTTAAACGAATTTAGTAAAATCACGTTTTAATATAATGCATGTATTTCTCACATACAATACAGTATATGTTCTCGCATAACTTCATCCTTTTACGAATCACAACTTGTGCAAATAACAATTACAACTTTCTTCATGAGAATTTTTTAGGCTAAAATTTTGTTTCACTCCTTTGCTGAAACATATCTAAGACATATGCTTGTCTGCACTGGTTTCTAAAGGATAAAATTCAATCGATATTAAAGAGTACGATAGACCATTAAGGATACCCTTACGTGTCAGATTTTTTGCGCATACGAAGAAGTCATGCTAGACATGAGCTATAAACCTGAAATTTTAGCAACATATTTAAAACTTTTTAAACTACAATACACTTTAATATTCAAGAACAAAAATATTCTTTTTAGAAATTACATAATTATTTTATGTGAAATCTATATAAAAACATATTTTGCGAGCGTAACTTTTTTCTTTATAAGCACCTTATATGACTGATAAACTGTGAAGGCACATAATTGTTAATTCATAGAGTTGATATGTTTCCAAAATTGAGAGGAAATTTGAAAATTGAATACCCTTTCAATTCAATTTTCAAAAGATATCAGCTCCTTCAATAATTGAAGGACGATTTTGATCATTTGCTCTTAAAACAAGTATGCCATGGAGAAAAAAGTTACGCTCGCAAATCTGAAATATAACTATCATATAAAAAAATTAAATTTCTAATTTTTTACTCTATAGATATTATTGGCCACTTGTGTAATGCATAAAAGTTTATGTCATATGCATACATTTGGAAGTATGGGAGACGAGGGAAATTACTTCTATGAGGCACTAGGATTTTTAAAAATTTCTCTATCGGACTCACCATTCAATTTCTCGAAAATTAAAAAAAAAATCAATAATAGCTAAAATGTATTATGCATAACAAATTTTAATGTTACACGGTATTTTTTGAACTTCATGACATGAATTTTCTTTATATTATTTTTTTTGGATTTTCTATGATTTATGCGATAGGCTGGAACAACATTGTAAGTGCAATGATATCATTTATAGAGAAATCTAAAACTTCAGCATTCAGAACTCGCAACCACAAAAATATTCATTTGCTAAGTAAGTAAAGTTGATTAAGTTCGACACTTAGCTTTTATACGTAAAACCAAGTGTGTATTGTTATTTCTTGTTAAATTATTGAGAAAAAAATAAATTGTAAGAGAAACGATACTGATTATTGAAATAATATTGAGGGCAGCTGCAGATTTCTTCATTAACATGCCGGAAATTTGTTAATCTTGGTTTTCTATCATAAAATCTGTCGAAGAATCTAAAAACGGAGATATGAAATAGAGATCATGTAAATCTAGAGTATCCTGTCAGAAAAATAGACTAAGCATGTAACCCTTTTTGGTCATAAACATTTTTACCACTTAGTCATACAGATGATCATTAAATTTAAACGAGCACTTTTTGTCAGAATTTATTCTTTTACAAAGACAGAAGATTTTAGTATTATTTAATATTAGTGCTGTAGCAAAATTCAAAAACGGTGAAAATTCAGTGAATTTTTGAATTCACATTTTTTTCGACATTTTTCTTGATATATCCATGCACATTAAGAACACAGCTTTGATACGCTTAAAAAAGCATATTTCATATGAAATTGTTAAAGAAATAAACAATTTATATAAAAATTGCACTTATGGGCAGTTTAGATATATAATTTATATATAACATATATACAAATCCATAGACAAAGTGCAATAACTACAATGTTGTAGAAAATTACAGCAGAAATACTGACTTTTTGAAGGATAATAAGAATTCTTCTAAATGTTGTATTTTTATAATTTGATTGATTTTTTTACTATTTCATTAATCTTTTATGAATAATAATTATTTTTAATATATGTGCTATTAAAATTTCAAATTTTGACTAATATATCTAATATCTGAACGAAACATTTAGAAAATATCATACTTACATTGAAATAGCAAGTAGAGCATATTAATAGCAAGTTTCTTGGCTTTATATCTATCATCTATTGTTGTTTGATCAAACAAAATTCACTCTATTATATGGTGTCAATTAATTAAAACAATTTTTAATAGTTATTTATTTAGTGCGAATAAGTGCAAACTCATAAATGAATAACTTAATAGTAGAAATGAATTATCTGATATAAATCTCACATTTTGTCCATCAGAAATACTTTAATTGCATACGCATAACTATTAGTAATACGTCTGGAGTGTCAATTAATAACAATCCCACAACAAGTAAAATTCAGATTTTTATTAAACTTATTTTTTCCTAAAAGTTTTCTCAAATTACTATATATACATATGTGGATAAAATAATAGTAATATTGTAAAAAATTAGATAATTTTTTTATTTGAGAACCTCTCAAAAGTTCATTCAATTTATCAATTGTTTCAGTTTGATGTATATTCATTTCTGGAGCCTAAAACTTTAGCAATCATGACAATATCATATTCTCTTTCTAACTACGCAATGTAAGGGTATCCTTAAGTGGAAGAAATACCAAAACTTTTTTTTTGATTTTATAGAAAATGGAAAAAAAAGTGTTTTTTACATATCAGAGAAGAATTTAATGCAAAATAAAAGTAAACTAAATACATTCAGTATATATCGATATCGTGGAAATTATCGAAAAGGTCAAAATAATCAGATTCATTTGGTGAAGAATATTCTTTCAATTGGATGTTGAAAAGTAAGCATTGAATTGGTTTATCTTTCCCACTGACTACATATATTGATAATTTCTCTCCATCGAACATCATTTTATGCATTATAATATTTTTTGATCTCGAATCTTTTTTATATGTAATAGCTCCAGTGTAACCATCAAATGCAAAGAGAGTTACATAGCTTACAACTTCTTGTTCGAATTTTGCAATATATTTTGCAATTTCTTTGACATTTCTTTTGCAAGTATTCATCATATTGACTACATTCATAAAGCAATCCTTTAATTCATCTTCGCTTGAATATTTATTTTTGCAAAATTCATGAAATTCTTCCATTTTTTTCATACAAATAAAGAAAACTTTTCCTGGGAAGATGTATTTGATTTTTCTATCCCATTGTTCTTGCATTGAAGCGTATAAAATGATGCTTTGACGATCTGCAATTCTTGGAAGTGCATTAACGATATTAAATAGAGATAAGAATTGCATTAATTCGAATATATTCTTATATGGTGGTAGTCTACCATATGTCTCTTTTAAATATTTTCTAAAATCATCGCCTCGAACATTTTTGAGTTTTTCAATTGAAGTTAATATGTTCCTGTATTCTGCTTCACTTTTATATGACTTTGTATCATTGCGCAACTCAACGAGTAGTTTTTGGATTGCGTCATCGGCCTGGTCTACCATTAGTATTAATGATGATTCAGAAAATTGAAAAAGATATTTTAAATTGAAACAGAATCTGTCAAAGAATTTTGTGAACTTTTGAAACATATCTCAGTATTTCAATTATTACGAATTTAAAAACTCGATAAATGTGTTTTTGAATATATTCTTATTCTATTCATCTCAAAATTTTTCTATATTTCAGCCAAAAAATAAAAAATTTGAATGATGGGTACTTTTTCGAAATCGCAAAGAAAAACTTAATTTCTTTTAGGTTGAAAGTAAAATGATTAATTGTATGAACCACGTAACTTAAATTAATTATTGAAGACTTTAATTTATTAAAAAATGGTATTTTTTTTATCAATTAATTTAAGATTATTAAAAATCAAGTTTTTTGGTACACCTTTTTGAAAGAAGTAGTTGTTCTGACTGATCAATGATTTTCATTCAGAAAATAATTTTGATTATAAAAATTTTTACAAAAAGCATTAAAAGTTCGGTTAATATATTGTATAACTGCAACTAAATTGAACATATGCTTATTCTATGTTTTTATTGTTAATTAAAAATGCGAATTCGCAAAAAAATATTTTATCGTTATGTTCATAATTTAGTTGAAAATGATAACTGATATATAGAAACCATTATATTCAAGAGATGAATATAGAATTTTTTTATAAAAGGATTTATCTAATGCTTCTCTTCTGATTTACCTAAGGGTTTGAATATGATCTACTGTATAGTTGACTTATAATTTACACAATGGATTTATTCGATGTCTGACCTATGGTTTAATCATTGTCGTGCTTATGATTTATTCAATTATCGACTCAAAAAAATATCATCTTGGTATTTTTTCCACCTTTTCAAACACAAATCTATTGAATAGTTTACATGCGTTAGGCTATAGACGAAGAATACGGGGCAATTCAATGAAAATTTTACCCTAAAAAATTCTCATGAAGAAAGTTGTAATTGTTATTTGCACAAGTTGTGATTCGTAAAAGGATGAAGTTATGCGAGAACATATACTGTATTGTATGTGAGAAATACATGCATTATATTAAAACGTGATTTTACTAAATTCGTTTAAGATCATGAAATCTCTCGTTGGAAAAAAATTTCAACGCATGACACAACACGATGTGCATGCACATTCTGTGTAGTATTAGTGCAGTTGATGCACTGCTTAGGGAACTCAAGCTTTACTCGGTGGGTCTCTGGATATCTATGACGAAATTTCAAAATTCAACATTTTGATAATTACTGTGAGAAGGTGCAATCTCTGAGTCATACATAGTAATTCATATACTATGCACACTAATACACTATAGTACACTATAGTACACATGCTCACATTTAGTAATTCATGCCTATCCATACATATAGTTTCATCAAAAAAACCCTCAGTGAAAATTTGTTTTTACATCTCCAGAGACTCACCAAGTAAAGCTTGAGTTCCCTAAGCAGTGCATCAACTGCACTAATACTACACAGAATGTGCATGCACATCGTGTTGTGTCATGCGTTGAAATTTTTTTCCAACGAGAGATTTCATGATCTTAAACGAATTTAGTAAAATCACGTTTTAATATAATGCATGTATTTCTCACATACAATACAGTATATGTTCTCGCATAACTTCATCCTTTTACGAATCACAACTTGTGCAAATAACAATTACAACTTTCTTCATGAGAATTTTTTAGGCTAAAATTTTCATTGAATTGCCCCGTATTCCTCGTCAAATGTTTATAATGATTTTGATTATTAGGTTGGATTAACCCAAGACTCTGGTTAATGTTTGTCAAAAAGTATTCATTTGTAAACTTTCTGACACTTAAAACATTTTTTTTGGTATTTCATAGTTATTGATATCGTGGCATTTTTGTGCCAGAAAAACTCAATTTTCATCTCAAATGATTTTTTTAAACACACACAATTTTTTTGATTGCATTTAACATAAGGATCAAACTTGAAATATGTAAAACAATATTTTTTTGAAGTGAATATGGCGCTCACTTGAAAAATATGATGCATACTGAATAATCATTGGGCATGGAAGAAAGGGAACAGCCTATTATTAGATCATCTGCAATTCATGGGGTTCTGATTTCGGATAAGATGAATACGTCCGAATAATAAATAATAAGAACAACCAGTGCGGTGAAGCGACAATGGCAATCATCCTAGGCACAAAATAAGCATCAAAAAGTAATTTTTTATGCAATATTTTTTATTTTAATATCATATATATTCCAAAACTTATCATAAAATTAAAATTTAAAGTTGGCATACAAGACTTAATATAATAGGATGAAATGAATGAAATTTTCACAAAACCATTTCCTAAATGACCAATTTCAGTTTCTCCGTATGGTGAAGGCATGACTTCACTTCCGCTGATCAATTCTTGGTAAATTGCCATTTCATGAACAAAAGCACTACCTCCTGATCCACCAGATGCAAAGCCTCCACCACCTCCATAATAACCCCCTCCACCACCACTAGATGAGCTTTCGAAACATGTTCTGCTTCCATTTCCTCCAAATCCTAGGATTCCAGTTGAAAATTTATCTTGACAATTCTGTGGTTTTAGATTATATCCACCAGAATTTTGGGTGGCTCCATATGTATTAAAAGAATCTTTTACAGCCTCAATTCCGGTGCTATTTCCTCCAGTAATTCCTCCTCCATGTCCACAAAATCCTCCTATATTATTAAAAGAATTGGTTATTGAAGACCCCCTCCATCGCCCGCAACGATAAGGCGGTTTTGTAAAGTCTCACTTTCGATTCTGACATCGGTCGCCCCACCGCCACTAGAAGTATTTAGGGCAAAACTACCTATATTCCCAATTCCTCCACCATTATATCCACCAATGGCAATATCAGTTCTATCATTTTCTCCATGACCTCCAATATTTAATATTAATGTAGTTCGATTTAACAAGAAAACTCCTTTTGTGTATCCTCCTAAACCTCCTGTATGGAAAAGTTTATGAGACGTATCTGTAGTATTCCCGCCTGAAGCACCCCACACTTCAATTTTATATATTCCTGGTTTAATTTCGACATAGATTGGATGGCATGATGTAGTTGAATCGCATGGGTATTCATATAATTTCTCCCATTGGGGTTTCGCATTATTAAATTGAGTTATTAACCACTATTAATCTTTTTTTCATTCAAAAAATTAAAATAAGAGTCGCATCAAAATTGAATATCTCTCAATTTTAAACTCATCAATTATTTCTCACAAAAAGCATAAAAATTTTAAACACTCGAAATACAAATCTTATCATATTTCAAAACAATTTGATTTTTTTAAATATGGATTCAATTTACTAAGAATCATTCATTTATTACCAATACATGAGAGACAGTATTTAATCCAATTGGGTTTTCATTTTCATCTAGTAATGTGAAAAAGTTAAGATCAATCATAGCATTTCAAGCATTATTTATATATGAAAATATTTTTATTTTTTAACTATAACAAATATTTATTTTATCTTTCAAGTGTTTCGTTGAAAATGAATTCGCTATCAGCCCAAACAATCTGTCTATCAGTGATCTTCATATCGTTTGTCGACACGTACGCGAATCCCTGTTCGAATCCGCCGCAGTTTGCAGTGACAGGGTTGACGACATTTTTATTTCTCGAAGAACTCGAAATCCTGCAAGAACTAAATTCTACATGAGCGTTTGCACTTCCACCAGCATTTACAATAGAAACATCGCTCTCTATATCGCACTGCCTGAACGTGCAAACACTTGGACCCGCTGCATCAAACGAACGCAAAACAAATAATGATGTAAAATCTTGTAAACCTTTCAATTCCGAACAATTTGTTTTAGCCACCACTCTTATTCCCAAAATTCTCAAAATTCCTGTTCCATCAACAATGCATCTTGTCGGTGTCGCCATTTCGCCTATCTTCGCTGTCGAGCTGATCTGCATTTCAGCGTTTGTTTCGTCGCAAACAACTGTCAAACTCGATAGAGGTGAAATAGAAACCACTTTTTGCCATGTCACTTTTGCACGAGCAGAAACTTGGATTTGTACGTGCTGGTGTTCTGTCAGAGCTCTTCTTGCGATCTGACCGATTTCATCTCCGTCTTTCGCCTGAACAACGAATCTTTCTTTCTTCGGAACTCTTGGAACTTTCTGGGAATTGGAAACAGTTGATTTCGCCGGAGAAACAACGGAGGAATTGATTGCAGGAAGAGATTGGAGAGATGGGAAGAGAATGGAGCAGATCCTGTTCTCGAAATCTTTGATGCTCGCCAGTGTCTGTTCGAATTTCATGTTGAATTTCTCGAAATCAGCGTTGTGGCGGTGAATGTGCTGCAAACTTGCAATGTCTGTCGTCGCTTTCTCCACAGCGCCTTTCATTGCATCTATCTCAGTGTCACGGCGCCTCTGAAGTGCATTGGTGCCGTTTAATAAAGTGTCAAAACAGCCTGACACATCATTAAACTGTTTCTCCAATCTCTCTGAGTTTTTAGAAACTTTTGTCGTTTCTTGTTTGAGGGAATTGATGGATTCAGTTGTCTGGTTCGTGAAAGTGATCATTGTCGTCTGCACTTTGCCAATTTCCGAGTTAAATTTGCTGTTCATTGAATCTGTCACTTTTTCTAATTCTTTCAATTTTTCTGACAAAGAATTATCCATTTCTTTGAGGGAATTCAGAGAAGATTCGACCTGTCCGATGTCGCTCCTTGTCTTCGCCTGCATGTTGGACATGTCCGCATTGATCTTTGTTGACAATTTGTCAAAGTTATTTGTCAGATTTTCTGAATTTGATTTCAGTTCACTTTCAATTTTTTCTGACATTTCTTTGTTTATTTTATCGTTATCGTCAATAATCTTTTGCAGCTTGTTGTTGAATTCTTCGTTTGCCTTATCAATTTTGGCGGAGAATTCGTCCAAATTGTTTTTAGTTACTTCTTTGACATTTTTGAGAGAATTCTCAACTTTCTTCATTCTCTGGTTCAAATCATCACTCATTTCGTTGACTCCTGCGTTTATGTCAATGACTTTCTGCTCATTCTCGCTTATCCTCTGCTTGAACTGATCCAAAACTTCTTTATTCTTATTTTCAATTGAATTTAATCGTTCCTTATTTTCTTTAGAATTATTCAACAAATTCTGATTTGTTTCATTGAGTTTTGCATCAACAGTTTGTTTGATTTCGCTGATTTCCTTCTTGAACTGGTCAATTCTACTGTCATTGGCCTTGTTTTGTGCATCAAACTTCTCAGAGATTTTATCGAAAATTCGATTATTTTCTTGGATTTGCTGAGAAATTTGTTCTTTAACTTTTTTGGAGGCTTGAATCATAAACTGGTCCAAACTGTTTGTCTGCTCTTTCTCAATGTTGTCCAAGGCTTTCTTCAGTTCCTGCAGCTTACTTTGTATGTTGTTGACATTGTCATCATTCTGTTTACTGTTATTTTGTAACGTATTTTGTAAACCTTTCAATTCCTCATTTTGTTTCTGATTATTTTTCTCAATTAATTCTTTTGTCTTTTGTTCAGAAGCAGAAATCATTACGCTCAAATCATTTCCTTTCTTGGCAATGGAGTCATTCAGTTTCCCTTCTACTTGGTTTGTCTTGTCGTCAACAACTTTGATTTTGTCGTTGATTTCACTCACTTTTTGTGAAAATTCTGAATTCAAATCTGTCACTTTTTGAGATAATTCAGAGTTTAATTGGTCGATGTTTTCTGACAGTGATTTATTCACTTGTTTCATTGTTGACTTCAAGTGGTCTATTTTATTATTTGCTGTCTGCAGATCACCACCTTTAATCTGGTTGATTTGGTCCTTCACGTCATTTATTTCATTCATCAGTTTGTTGTTGAACTGGGACTGGTTTTCTTCCTGTTGTTTGTTGTAGTCTTTGATCAGACTGTCTATTTCCTGAGTGATTTCCTGGTGTTTCGTCTGCAGATCTTTCTGGTTCTGCTCCTGTCTCTGTTTCTCCTGTTGTTCATTCAGAAGAATGTGGTCATCCAGCAGTTGTCTGTTGTTTGAAATTGTCTGTTCAATTGATGAAACTTTCTTCTTAATCTGGTCTTTGATTGTTTCGAATTTCACGTCTTCTTCATCTACTTTGTTTGAGATAATTTTGATTCTGTCTTTTACATCTTGTGTTAGATCTAATATAGACTGCTTCAACTCTGCCTTGTCTTTGCCATGATCATTTCTAATTGTTTCAACATTACTTTGTAATTCACTTTCAATCGATTTCTGATTTTGTGTCACTTTTTGATTTAAATCAGTCAACAAAGTTTGAATTTTGTTGAAGTTTGCCTGGTTTTCATTTGATGACTGTTTGTAGTTCGATGACAGTTCTTTGATCTTCTTGACTGTTTCACCAGAAAAGTCATCAAATCTCTGGGAATTCGATGCCAAACTGTCTTTGATCTTCGAAATTTCTTGTTCTGCCTGAGAAAGAGTGATTGTTGCACCGAAGAAGGCTGTTTTCGCGGTGTTGAGGATGTCGTCGCGCTCTGATGTGAATGTCTTCAACAGCAAACGCGAGTCTTGCTTGCATTCGTCAACTCCGGCTTGAATTTGATTTCTTGCGTCCGAAATCAGCTGCAAAATCAATGGAATTGTCTCTTTGGAGTCGCCTTGGAGGATGTTGAGGCGATTTACAATGTTGTTGTAGTCTTTTCTGCTTGGAATTTCGTTGATCTTCGAAATGATTTTTTCAATTGACTCTTGTTGATGGGAGGATTCGTCTTTCATTGCTGTCAACTCAACGCGCAATGTGTTTACGACCGAATCTGATACTTCCTTAGTCAATTTGTTCGTTTTCTCAGTCAGATTTGTTAATTCTGTTGTGTGGACAGTGATTTGCGAGTCCATCTGGTGGAAGACCTCTTCAATCCTCTTGGACAAGTCGTTTATCGATGCAGAGGAGCCTCCTCTGATTGATTCTATTGATGAATTAAGTGATGAAAACTGTTCTTTGTTTGAAGAGCTCATTTTAGAGAATTTGTCTTTGATTGACTGAACTAATTGATCGTTATTCGATTTGAGCTCATCAATGTTCTGTTTCATCGTTTCTCGAATTTGAGAGTCCTTCTCAATTATTTCTGCATTCAAATTTTGAATGAGTGTGTTTAGTTCTTCTTGGATTTTGTCTGTCTTAGAAGGATCGAAAGATTTCTGTTTCTCTTCTAAAGTAGAGATGCGTTTCATCATTCCTGGGATGGAGGCGTCTTCTGATCCAGTTAATGAGTTGAATTTGTCGTCTAATGATTGGATATTTCCTTTGAGCTTGTTTATCCTGTTGTTTAAGGATTTCTCGGTCTGTTCAACAGTCACTGTGATATTTGCAGTGACTCTTTGCTCGAGATTAGTGATATTTTGATGAATTTGTTCGATATCTGTTTCTTGCTTAGCATCTCTTGCCTTTTGAGTCTCATTTCCTTCTTCAATGAACTTAGTGATTCTGTTGGATGACTCTTCAATCTGTTTAGTAAGCTCTGCTTTGTCATTAATTTCTTTATCTTTGATATCTTTGACTTGAGCGGTCAATGCATCGAATTTCGTGTTTAATGTCGCATCAGTGTTCAATACTCTCTCTTTGTTCTCTTCTAAGCTGTTCTCAACGACGCTATATAACTCTTCAAATTTATCTTTGATCTTTTTAATGTCTTTCTTCTGGGAAGAGAACGTATTCTGTGTTTCTGTCTCGAAATTCGTCATTCTCTCCAAAACCTGTGGCATTGTGGAGGTGACTCCCCCTACAAAATTATCCAAATTTGTTTGTGTCAGTGAAATTTTTTCCAACAATTCCTGTTTGTTCTTTTCTATGTCGCTTTCGATCTTGTTCGTGCTATCGTCTATCATCTGGCGGTTCTTGTCAGTCAGAGCGGCAAATCCATCGGTCACAGATTTGATTCTTTCGTCGGTAGAGTTATTATATGTCTCCATTTGCGTCTGTAACTCTTGCGCGCGCTGTTCAATCAACTGCTTGTTGTTACTTATCTTCTCGTCAGCCCTCGATTTTACTTTCTTGATGGACTTTTCGATTTCATCCAGAGTTAAAGTGGATTCTCCTTGCAAAGTAGCGAGAATTCCTCTGATTTCCTGGCAGTTGGTGTTGACTTCTGCAACTTTGTTCCTGATGTCTTCGCTGATTTCTGCAATTAACTCATCATTTTCTTGATGAGCTTTAGATTCGATTTCTTCTGAGATGTTCTTGATCTGTTCGATACTTGCAGCCAATTTCGCATGTTCTTGGCTGTTCAAATCTTGGTTTTCTGCAACTTTTTGCAAAATTTCTGTTTTTGCGTCTTCAACTTTAGCGGAAATACCCGAAATCCTCTCTTTGTATCTATCAAGGCGTTCAGATACTTGTGTTTGGAGGGTTTCCAACTGTGCTTTTGTCTCAGATTTGACCTGATCAATTTTTGTGTCGAGTTTCTGACGCTTTGACTCATTTTCTTCGATGGAAGCCTGCAGAGCGGCGTTAGTTTTAGCATCAGCTTCCTTCAGTTCGTTGCTTTGATTTGAGATATCTTCCTTAACAAGGTCTATTGACTTTGTTATGTCCTCTATCGTAGTCTTTGAGCCACCGACTAACGCATCGAACCTCTTGATTTCGATTTCGAGTCTCTCATTAATTTGATTATCTCCAGATTCGATTTTTGCAGTGATTGTTTCCTTCTGTTTTGCGAGGGCGGCCTTCATTTCAGCGACGAGCTTATCGAAATTGCCATTAACTTCATTAATTTTCGCATCAACAGTTGAAATTGTCTTTGCCTGGGATTCCTTTGTTTCTTTTCGGATTTTCTGTACGGTATCGTTAAATCCGTCGACAGAGTCATTCAATGTCTTTCTGACGGTTTGAATCTGACCACTTAAATCTGTCATTGAAATTTTCTCTTCTCCCTGCAAGAAAATGAGCCTGTTGTTCATGTCCTCCAGTTTCTTATTGGATTGCTCGATCACAGCCTTCATTTCGCTGTTCTTCCTGTTAATTTCGTCCAAAGTCGAATGACAGTCTTTTTCAAGAGCTTCGTCCTCGGCGTGAAGCTCCTGTATTTCCTTCCTGATTTCGTCGAAGTTCTTGGTCGTAGAGGTCGAAAATTCAGTGAAATTGGTGGTTAATTCGGAAAGTTTGGCGTCTGTCTCTTCTACGTGCTTCATTATGTTGCTGGCGGTTGATTTAGTGTATTTCTTTGCATTGTGCTCGATTTTGTCCGTTCGTTTCTTCCACGCTTCAGTATCTTCTGAATTATATTTTTCGATTTCGGCGGTTTTTTGTTGTAGACCTTCGATATCTCCTCCGATGGATTCAATTAAGTCATCAACATCGGTTGAATGCTTTTCTAATGCTGTAATTCGTTCAGTATTATTATTAATTTCAGAATCGTGTTTTTCCAGGTTTTCATCGTGTTGGTGTAAATGTTCTTCGATACTTTTGATGTTTGCGTCAAGTTTGTTGATCTTATTTGCAACTTGTTGTAAATATTCGTTAATTTTTCCAATTTGCGACGTATGTTCTTGAATTTGCTTAACATTACTTTCGTGCTTCTCATTCAACTCATCATGGACTTGTTTAATCGTTGTGTTTAGTTTTGCGACTTCATCGTTAATTTTTTGATCGAAGTTTTCTTTGAGTTGTTGGAACTTGGTGTTATAATCAGCTTGCAACTGTGCCATTATATCATTTTTAAGATCGCTAAGACGCTTCTCTTCTCCATTTTTGAACTCTTCTAGTGTTTCTATTCGTTCTTTATGGTCGTTTGATGTATTTTGGAGTTCTGTGATATGTTGGGCTTGTTCGTCTGAAGCATCTTTCAGGAATTTCAATTTTTTGGCAACCTGATTTAATTTCTTTTCGTGTTCTGCAATATTGTCTTTTGATCTCTTAATATCTTCGGCATCTGCAATAACTTGATTAGCTGTGTTGTATAATGTGTTATATTGCCTTTTGATTTCTTCAATTTTATTATTTTGAGTTTCCCAGCTATTTTGGAAATCATGGCTTAATGCATCAATCTTTGCCGAACAACGATCTATCTCTTGGCGAAGAGAATTATCATTTCCTTCGCTGTCCGACATTGATCAACTTCCGAAGTTTTGAAAAATCTCTCTATCATACTTAAGAAACTTTTCCATGCTAAATCAATTGTATATATAATTTACTAATATTGTACAAAGTACAATCATACTGTCACTTTTTAGTCTCGACGACATCAGAATTTTCGCCTTAATTATTAATAATTTGTTTTTACCATACACATTAGAATGCATTTGTCGTAGAAAAATCAGACTTATAACATTTTTTGGGCGCGTAAAGGGTTGGCGTCCTAAGGCGTCCTGATGTAAACTATTCAATTTTTGAGAAGTTTACACCATAATTGAATAGTTTATGGCGTCCTGAGAGGAGATTTCAATGGGTATGGCGTCCTAAAAAAATAGAAGAAAATGATTCTTTCTCGATTTTTCTAGAAATTGAATTTTTTAAAAAAGAAAAAAATCAAAACGTATACATTCAAGAAAGACTATAAATGAAGATTTTTCTATTTTTTTTCATTCTAAAACATCTTTTTTTGGATAATTTTTTTTTTAATAAATATGTAAGAAAGATTGAAGAAAAAGTAAATTTACTTTAAGAAAATTCGTTTTACATGATGTAAGACCCATAACAACTATAAATATTCAATTATTTAAAATAAAAAAAGAAAAACAGATTAAATGTATCTCACATCAAAATCCATTGACCTAAGGATGTTAAGTTTCTGTTTTTAAAAGTTGATATTTTTTTTTTAATTTTAAGAAAATTAATAGCATGTTATTAGACAATAGGAGTGTAATGATATTGACTAAACAGAAATGAGAGAATAGAGATATAATTTTGATAAGCAATATTGCGAACAAATTCTGAAGTAAAATCGCGATCAATAATTGAAAATTACGATCATGTACTGAAAAATGACGATCGAATTGAATGAATAGAATTATATCTAAGAAAAAATAAATTGTATTTAGAAGATGAACAAAGAAAGGTGTATGCTAAAAATCATTTAACAATAAATGGAAATAAAACGAAATTGTTAAAAGAAAAAAATGAAAATTGTGAAGGGTGCACACGAGAGGATCATGTAAACTTCAGAATTTAGAACCTTATTTTTAGGCATTATCTTGGCTACCTATTTAGGCTCGAAAAGCAAAAAATATCAAAAAATACAACTTGACTCCATTATGACCCTTTCATGGAGGTAGTTTTTATCCGCTAGTATTTTCCCTTTGAATCTCTTTACAATTCGAAATCAAATTCAAACCTCAGTAGAAGAAAGGAAGAATCGACTTACTACGGTTGTAATACGAATAAATACATATATTTAATTATTTTTATTTACATAATAATTGTTTGAAGCTCATATTCCAACAAATTTTTAAATAAAAACATTAAAATGTTGAAAATGTTCATATATTTTAATAGGGTTTTGGCACTTTATTGAGGAATTACTACATACATAGTCGAACTGAACTTGATATTTTGAAATTTAAATTATTTATCAAAATTAAAATTTAACTTGAAATTTATAATTATTTAGTCATATTTTGCATAATTCTAAGTAGATTTTGTAAAAAATCAAGAAAGAAAAATTTTAACGTGCTTTATTTTTTCTTTTTTATAATAATACATATTATTATATAATTAACATATTCATAATGTTTCACCCTTTCAAAAACATAATCCTCCTCCTCTCAAATAAACGTACATACGGGTGGCCTCTTTTTTCAAAAAATTAAAATTTGAAATTTTGGGCTCAAATATTAGAGATTTTTTCAACCTTCAACGATATATGTTGTCTATATCAGACCTCCTTTCTTTTTGATACTTAACATTGTTCCTAAATCTTAGCCGTTAAGGCTGTTCTGAAAATATTTTTTTTTCGAAAAAATTCAAAAAAAATTCTTGAAATTCAAAAATCCCTTAATTCCTGAGGATTTTGGAAAAAAGTTTTTACATGAACATGTGTATATTATATGAAGTATATTGATAAGGTAAAAATCAAATTTTATTGCATATTCATCGAGAAAATAAACTAACGAATCCCTCAAAATTGAGAGGGTAATCCTCCTCCTCTCAAATAAACGTACATACGGGTGCACCCTTAAATAATATATTATTTTTTAGTCATAAGAATAAAAATATAGTAGTTATAAAAGGAATTAGACTTCATATATCAATTCTTTTTCTCTGTAGATGTGGAACGTTTGCTTTTCGATCTCTTTCGATGAACTTGAAAATATAAGTTATTATCGCTGAGAATCCTTTCCGAAATAGGAGCTTTACGTTTAGGAGGATTGTCGGATGAATTTTGTTTTTTATTGTTTGATTTTGTTGTTATGGAAGATTTTTTCTTATTTTTTTCAGAATTTTGCTTGCTATTAACTGAAACTTGTTTTGACGGCCCAACAATAGCATTTGTAGTAGGAAGAATTCCCAATAACGAGCGCATTTTCGATAATTGTTTTTCAATATGATCAAGAAGGTCCAGCTTATGTTCTAGATTACTAGACATTTGATTTGTAGAAGGATGGTTTTGATTTTCTGGTTCTAAATCTGTAGAGTCTGCAATATTTGAATTTTCGGAGCGAATTGGAGCATCTGAACCTTGATTTGTATCGGCTTGCTCAAAATTAGTTTGAATTGGAGTGGATGAATTAAAATCTGGATGATTTAATGTTTCATTAAATAATAGTTAGTATCCCTATCTTCAGTACTGTGGCACTGCGTTCCACCGTACCCAAGATAACGGCTTGACACTTTACAAAACCGCTAACGTATATTTTACAACAGAACCATAACACCAACTTAACCTTAAATATTCACTAACGACTTCACTAACGAATTCACTACCGTCCTCACTAAATAAAAAATAACCTTATTTTATTTATTTTCCAACTTTTTTATTTCATTGTAAAGGCATGTCTGACTACATTTACTATGACTCTTTCCCAGAACGTTTCCGTGAACTATTCAAAACTCAAATAAAACTGAGGAACATGCATTTTAACAAAGACAGACCCATTGACGATGAAAGAAACCCTGAATATATTACAATCCCATATGACGCAAAGTTCATTGCATACATTCCTTATGGTCGCAGAGGAACGAAAACTATTTCAACAAAGAACAAAAATTATTTCTGGAGCGATGAAGAAAATTGCCTTATCTACATAAATGCATACTTAAATAAAGCTACATATTGTACAAAAGAAGGTTGGACTGGATTTGAGCTCTACATATACGACGACGATGGAAACAGACGTTGTGTATACCCATACGATAATATGTACCATTGTTTTCATCAAGCATTAAACGAATACATAGTCAGTAAGGGTCTCATTCCTGTTGAGTAGATATGCTTTATTTTTGTTCTGTCATTTATATAAAAATTAATGATATCACCACCCTCACGCGTATGAAAACATAGCACAAAAATAAATTTAGGTGAAGTGGTGAGATCTCACCTCTTTTTTCACCCTGTTGAATTCATTGCTTTATAACTCTCTTCCTTTCTCCAACTCTTCTAACTTCTTCTTAAGTTCAGCAATGTTGTCTTCATGTAATTTAATCTTTCTCAAAATTCCTTCTTTATCTAATGGTTGCTTTATCTTTCTAAACTGAACTCTACCATCTTTCATAGTATGAATGTAAAAACCTTCTGGAATAGTTCCTGATTTAATGTATTCTACCAAAAACTTTTGTTTCATTGCTTCAGTGACTTTATTTGTCATTTCAATCAAAGGTGAAGCTAGCACAGCGATAATGGATTTCATGACTTTTTAGTATTTCATGCAATCTTAACAGATAGCCTTACAAGTACTTCCAGTGTCCCTAGCTGTCCCTCCTTTTTATATAACTCCATGACATTTATAATCTCGCGAAACTTAACAGGTAGCATAACAGATTAAAATCAGATTGAGGTTTTGAACCAAAATTTCTAAGCAACGTTGTCAAGGATTTTGAGGAACTAGGGACAGAGTGTGGCAAAGTCCAAGATTTAATTTATCTTCATCTGTTTCATCAGCTATCTCATCTAATATGCCAATATTTTATTCATAACTCGTGGCAAACTCACTAACTTTCATTATGTTCATCTGCATGCTTCATCTGATAGAAAGTATGACTTTCATTAACTCTGTGAGATAATAATGAAAACTACTAGGGACAGAGACCATGGCAAAGTTTATGACTTCATTAACTCTGTGAGATAATGAAAACTACTAGGGACAGAGACCATGGCAAAGTTATGACCTCCTCACTGTTCTCATGAACTATTTCATTATTGCATGTATGACCTCCTCACTGTCTTTCATAAGCGTTTCAAAGTCTCCTTTACTTATTACTTCAATCTCATGCTGTTCACAATAGTATATGATAGATACAGAAAACAAGAGAGTAATCTTATTCATAAACAAATTCAAACGCTTGTACGGCTTCATGTAGGACAAACATTATTTTTCAACACTAACGCCAACACGTAGGACAAACATTCATGACTAACATTACTGTATAACATAAATGTTTTGTTATGACTTCGTCGTAAATGTTTTGTCAAACATAAACGTATATGTTTTGTCATGATTTCTTCGTAATGAACGTATATGCTTTGTCAAAACTTCATCGTAAATGTTTTGTCAAGACTTCATCGTACATGTTTTGTCAAGACTTCATCGTACATGTTTTGTCAAGACTTCATCGTAAATGATTTGTCATGATTTCTTCGTAATGAACGTATATGTTTTGTCAAAACTTCATCGTACATGTTTTGTCAAGACCTCATCGTATATGTTTTGTCAAGACTTCTTCGTATATGTTTTGTCATGATTTAATCGTAAATGTTTTGTCATGATTTAATCGTATATGTTTTGTCATGATTTAATCGTAAATGTTTTGTCATGACCTCATCGTAAATGATTTGTCATGATTTCTTCATCGTAAATGTTTTGTCAAAACTTCATCGTACATGTTTTGTCATGATTTCATCGTAATGAACGTAAATGTTTTGTGAAGAATATAACAACCGCCTGAATTCAGACGG